TCTGTTCTCTTCATGACATAGCCTATGTCTCGGTGGAGGGTGGGACTAAGCCTATATCCTCCATAACAGCAAACTGGCATTCAGATCTACGTCCATTTAAACGCCCAACTTCCTATGATTTGAACAATTCCCGAAGAACTAAATCTAATCCCGCCCTACATTTTTCTCATGCAGAAGCCATTTCACTCTTAAAGCCTATATTCTTTCTTCCCTATTGTGATGTAGGCTATTAAAAAATGTGGAATGTTTATTTTTGTTTATATCTACAGTCTTGAAATCTCAAATAGAGAAAAAAATATATATGACCACCATTATCCATCCACCCATGTTCCTAGCGTTATTCCCGCTCATTTGTAGGGTCAACTTCACACACACATTTGATTTGGTAATACAACCACTGAGAGTGCTGGGACACATTCACACTCACACACAATTTGGCATTATTGTTATCACCCAGGAAACAATATGGCCACTGTTCATTTAAAGGGGCTATATAAGAATAGTAGGCCTAATTCATCTATTACTCACTTTTTTAATGGCAATATGTGAACAGCTTAGGACAAACTTAGGACAAATAGCTTAGGACAAACTGTGAACAAACTTAAAAAATGAGAATTTCCCTGACTTGTCTTAACTTGAAAGCCTGTACTGATTTTTATGTGAAGGATTCAGTAGGGGTGTGACGGTTATTATATAACCGTGAGACCGACGGTTATAGTTGAACACCGTCATTAGAACTCTATAACCGCCAAAACCGTGCTATTAAAATATTTTTTACAAACATTTTTTATCATAGAGAATGTTTAAATACTAATATCAGCTTAAGAGGGAAACGGAGGCTGCTACTGCTGGAGATGATTCGGGAGAGGTCTGTGCACCTTTACCGATCAGAGCGCGCGCTGACACGGAGTAAAGCCTTGTTTATATTCGACGCGTCCGCACGATCGCGAAGGTGCGCGCGCCTGTAAAAATGACGCGTTCGGTGCGCAAGACCGGCAAGACCCCATTTGGCTTGGCTGTGTGTTTATATCTATGGGCTGTGTGCATGGCTTTTTTTTGTAACAGCGCGCGCGGCGCCGCGTCCGAATCATAGACTTCAAGCCGAATCTGCCCGAGCATGCACGTCTCACCGCACCGGCACGCAGTTTGCGCGTCTAAATTGCAAAGTTCATTCCAAAGTTTTTTCGTTAAGGTTTTGTTACTGTGTGTGACTTATAAAAAAAAAAAGCACGTTCATTGCAACGTTTGTTTGTTTTGTTAGTTAAGGATTTGTTTACTGTGTGATACATTTAATGGAAAGCACATTCACTTCTAGTTGTCTTGCTGTTCATGTTAAATAAACGTAGAGCCAGTAGCTAATCAGTGTCTGCTTGTTTATTCAAACTAAGTTGTCCTATAACAGACGAACAGTTATTCAACCCCCCCCCCCCCGACGACGGTTGTTATGAACCGTCACATTTGACTCACGTCATAACCGTCATCACCAATTCTGAAACCGGCACACCCCTAGGATTCAGGACATTTTTGATGGGAAAATCAAAAGGATGTGATGTTTACATGCGCTCGAGAGCCTCTTTTCCATTTAATGATAGGCCTAGGTGAACTGAATGCTTATACAATGTAAAGAAGTAACTTAAAGTGTGTGTTTTTCAGCTGAAACCATTAAATGCAAGTCAACAGCTACTGTCACTTTAAGCAGGGTTCTCAAGTCTCACGCATTGGCCGTGAGACACACGCAATTCAACCAGTTCACACGCTCACACGCCACACCGTGTATTTCTCACGCTGAAAAGGCAATGCCAACCAAGTTGTCCTGCAAGCTTTATATATAACGTTGTATACGAGGCGCATGCACACAAAGATAAGTTTCCTGCCGCCAGCGCGTCCGCATCTCGGCCAAATTGCGTTCGTTACTAGGCAACTTATAGACGCGCGAAGTCCGCGAACACACACGGAAGTTCGGCCACCGCGACATCGCGCGAACACACGGCGTGATGGAGAAAGTAAGTTGGAAGAAAGCTCGCCTAACATTTTTAGACTAGAAGTTCTAGAACATTTAATATATAGCCCATACATTATTGATGCAGTCAAAAACTCTACAACTGCTTTGCAACCAGGCCAAAAGCTTTGGCTCAGTTTGGCTAAGGAAATGTTATTGGGTATGTGAAGGAATGAAGATGTATTTCTTCAGTTTATTTTAAATTCTATATTATAATGTATTAATAGTATTTCTAGTTACATTAAGGCTAAGCAGAGTGCTCTTGGTAATATTGTATATCCTGTCAAAACATACATTAGCCTAATCATTGCCATTGCATTTGTATTTTTCAAAGATGTCAGGGAAAAATGCAAAAATATTTGTTTTTCCAAACATTTTGGAGCAATTTGTTATATATTTGTAGCCTAATTTTGAAATATAACATTAAAGAGTAGGCCTATATTTGATGTGATGAATTGCTCTGTCATTTATCAGATTTACCAATGTTATAATTTCAACTTTTGCTGGTTAATTACGAACAATGGGTAAAATTGGGGGCGGGGCTAGGCGGGGGCGGGGCTCCATTTAGGCTCCTCCCCTAACCGCATGTGATCTCACTCCTAGCTTTTGATAAAACTTGAGAACCCTGCTTTAAGAGTCAAATAAACATCTATTCTACAGGCTAAACAAAAGTAATACAGATGGCTCATGTCCTGATGACATAGCCTATGAGGTCTTATGAAGCGAAACGGTCCGACTGTGCTAAAAACTGAACATTATTATTTGTAACATTATTATTACGCTAAACCGTTGCTATGGTTACCACAGTGTCAATCATCGCAGTTTCGGGAGTGAGTGTTCCGTACACACATGGAACGATAAGGGACTTTAAGCAACAGCCTCTGGTGGAACGGCAACGGCATTCTGTCGTTCTATTGCGCATGCGCGACATTAACTGCTACTTCGCGACGTTCTACTGTAACCGTCTACAACGGGAGAACAGCTGATTTGCCGTAGTCGATACTACGTGACAGATTAAGAAAGTTAATGTTATGTTTTAGGTTATGTGGCATTATAATCGTTTCTGTATATCATTAAATGCCAAAATCAACTCTTCTCTTACTTTTTAAAATCAGTTTATTTTTTGTATTTTGTCTGATGATTAAATTATCCCCTATGCCGTCCTCTTTACTGTTGCTTAGTGATTTTTGCGCTCTTTAGCTACGGCAGTTAACCGTTTACTTCCGGCTGCCGTTGCCGTTCTATCAGCAGCTGTTGCTTAAAGTCCCTAATAATAATGCAGTTGTCAGTCACTCCTGAAACTTTAAAATATGTTGGCTACTAAGTGTGTACTATACTCTATGTAATAAGAGTAACTTGTCAGGATGTTGGTAACTAAATGTTGTTATTTAACCCGTTTAATCCCAAATTTTTTCTTGCAACTTGAGTACATGCATTTTACTCCTTAGACCTCCCTAACACTCAAACATTATGCCTTTTTTGATTTTATGTTGGTTAAGTTAGTGAAATATTAGGTTTTATACTCGGTCACAATAGTGACCGGTGGGAAACAACATAGTCAGAATTCATTCAAATTCTTCAATTAGACCTATTGACACAATTCATTCCAAGACATCCAATATCTCGTTTTGTCATTTCGTGAAGAAGGCTTAGTGAGGTTGTCATGTACAAAGTTACACCCTGGAGGAACTTCTGCTTGTTCGGCTAGACCCGTATGGGCTAGACCATGACTACACTTGGGCCCTGTCCTTGGCCAGTTTCAGGGAGATGTGTGTTCACTCATTCAGTGCACTGAAGATGGGCCGTGCGTTGTAGAAAGGGTTGTTTGTGGTCATGTGTGGGGCACATCAATTGGTTCTCATGAACATCTGCCCAATCCTCCAGATAATTCACCTCTGCATCGCCATTCAATAGTCTACTTGGCAAATGGGCTGTTTCACCCTGGTACTCCCTATCTGAGCCATCACTATCACAGTCACTTTCAATTTAGGGTGGGGGTGGGGGGAAGGGGGTCACGTACGTCAAGAAGGTCCAACACATTGACCGTTTCTGGGACACTCATCACTACACTGAACAAAATTATAAACGCAATAATTTTGTTTTTGCCCCCATTTTTCATGAGCTGAACTCAAAGATCTAAGACCTTTTCTATGTACACAAAAGGCCTATTTCTCTCAAATATTCTTCACAAATCTGTCTAAATCTGTGTTAGTGAGCACTTCTCTTTTGCCAAGATCATCCATCCCCCTCACAGGTGTGGCATGTTCAGTGTAGGATTGCCAAAACCTGCCAATACCAGCCAATACCTGTGTTTTCTATTGAAGCACTGTGTTATACTACCGGTCACAATTGTGACCGTAAACAAATTTACAAGTCTTACGAGCAAAATATATATGCAGGAGTATAATTTTCAAAATATATCAGTTGTAGACCCTTTAAAGAATATATGTACAAAATATGATAGTTCTATTATGTAAATTAAGATGTTTTATATACTACTTTTTGTAGTAGTCTGAGGAAGACATCTTCTTCTAGATGTGCAAGCAGGAAGTGAACTGATCTGGTCATGTGACCTTTCACACTAGTCACATGACATTAATTGATTTTAATCAAGACAATCTATTTTGTCATTTAAAAGTTGAATTTCTTGCCCAAAGTCAATAACAACATTTTTTGAGCTTCCAGAAATAAGAAAAAAGCTGTGGTCACAATTGTGACCGGTGGGATTAAACGGGTTAAGGGCCTTTTCATAGAGGTTAAAACAGTAAAACAATTATTCACCAAAAAAGCAAAACGTAGGCCATCCTAACGTTTCGCCAACAGAAACTGGAATTACAACAAATAAATGTGACAACATATAAACGTGACAAATGACTTGGCATTTATAAAATAAATTAGATAATATTATTTAAATAATATTTATGTGGTTTTGTGCTCACCAAGTAGACTGGTGTTCCGACGAGCATCAGAGATCTCCTCCCCTCTTTCACATTCACTCCCATGATGCAACAGCAAACAAAGAGGGCAGAGGAAAGAGACATTACATGGAGAAACGGCAGCTAGCTAGAGAAAAGTTTCAAACGCCGAAAATAGGCACAATTCAAAAAGTCCACAGCGTAAGGTGTCACTTTATCGCAAAACGCGGTCATAAACTGCCCATTATTAATCGTCTCTGTGAAAATTGAGTTCGTTTTTGCGCTGTTTTTGTAAGTGCAGGTATCAGCTAGCCGTGAAGTAATAATGTCTCTTAATGTGATTTCATAACTCTCCGGACACTGATATGACCACTCCTGTTAGTTGACAGTGTATTCAAGGAACATCGGGTAATGTATAGTTAATATATATGTGTAAATATTGATGGCTAGTGTTGTAACATTAGATAGAAGTGATGTTTATTATAGAGGGCCTGTACAGGTTAGCATGAGTGCTAACTGCTCTTAAAGCGTTAGCTCGCTCATATTTATGAATTCAATAAGTGTTTTATTTTGAACTTTGAAATGTATAACTCGTTAACAGGGTGACAAATTAATATTCTAGCTCTATTATCAGCTGATTAATCACTTTGTTCACTTTACATACTAGCTTTAATCCCTGTCAGACAGACATCAATCAGACATAAATACTTAACCTACTGTAAAATAATGTCTGTATTTTGTGAACGTCAGCCTTCCTTGATAAGACATTTGCCTTGATTAAAATCGCTGTTTGGTGTGCAATTTGGTTTTAGTTATATTGAGTTCATCTGGTGAATCTCTACTGAATCTGTGCTCATCTATTGAACAAATAGCCCTTAAAGTCAACATGAATTAAAAACCCTTGTAACCCTGTTTACTTTATTGGTTCATGTTGCTGATCTTAGTGTGTGTGTGTGTGTGTGTGTGTGTGCGCGCGTGCTTAATTTGTGCTTGTAACTTCCATGTTATCTCTTTGGGTAGATGATTTGAAATACTTTCATGAAGTTGACATGTCCTTCTGTGCTGTACTCCATCTAAATCTGCTGTGCAGTATTTAGATTCCATTCATAATTCTGTGTGCAGCTTCTGTTAGAAAGAGACTGGTAATCGTGTTGAACAATTTTTTATTCATTTTTTTCCTGATATTTCCGTTTCAGCTTCACCATTAACTCTACTTTATAACTGAGTCTACCAATTTAGACTATGAATACCAGCCAACAGCAACATTCATAAGGGTAATTTCATGTCAAATCAACCAGTTTGGAAACTTCCCCTGCTCAAATTTTTTATTTTGTTTATATATTTTTTCTGAAAAAAGACAAACATAAATGTTGATGAAAGCCAAAATATTAAATGTCGCAGATGTATATTGACTGAGTAATCCACTATTTTGTAGAGGCCTAGAGGGGGGTCAAAATGACAACTTTCGCCTGAGAGTTTGGAGCCAAATTACAGGGGGGTAAAAATTAGTTTAGAAAAAATGGCAGCATCATTATTTTAATTTTACACAGAGATTGCTAGGTCTATTAGTTAAATCTGTTGACTTTAGCAAGCTTTTTTGCATTAGCCTATATTGTAACAGTGAAAGTTCAAAAATGAGAAAAAGCACTTGTGTTTTTGCCCCAAGTTTGCATGACTGTAACTCAAGAAGTATTAAATATATCTTAATATCCTTTTAGATTTTGGTTTTTAACAAACATTTCTTTTGGTATCTTCAATTTAAAAGCGTTATATGGTTAAATCCCAGAGATATGGAGATCTTAATGCTGCTCCATGAGTAAATTGGTAAATTGTGCACATTTTCAGTCGTCAAAAACAAATGTGGGTCACTTTGCATACAGCTGATTCTTTTTTTCTTTTAAAAAGGATCATCTGAACAACAGATAAGATTGAAACTAGAAATGTATCTCGTTTTTTTTTCTATCAACACAATTGCATAGAATATACCTGTCTGAGTGCCATAAACATGTTTTTTCCAAAGTTTGTGTGCCTGTCACTTAAAAAGTATTAAAAATATCTCAGTATGATTTTAGATGCTGGTTATTAACAAACTTTTCATCTGAAATCTTCATTTTCAAGTATCTATGGTTTAATCCCATAGATAAGGGGATCTCAATGCGGCTCAATGTCCAATTTGTTGATTTTTTTTTTCCATTTTCATTGGTCGAAAACCAAATGTGATTCACTTTGCACACAGCTGATACTTTTTGCATTTAATGGGTAATGTTGTAAATAATAAATAATGTTGAAACTAGAAATGTATCTTGTTTCCCTCTATCAAAACAATTGCATAAATTGCACCTCTCTGAGTGCTCAGGTGAAAATTGTCATTTTGACCCCCCTCTACAAAATACAATATTTTGGCTTTCTTCCTCATTTATGTATTTCTTTCACCAGAATTTTTTTTTAAATCAAAATAAAAAAAAATTTAGCCCGGGACCTCTGGTTTAGTTGACACGGAACGACCTATAAGTTAAAATAATATATTTGATCTATTGTTTAGATAATTACTCAACTATTTAAATAAGTCATTTATTTTGAAGTGAGAATACACTATCGTTCAGAAGTTTGGAGTTTGTAAGCTTTTGTAATGTCTCTTATTCTCACCAAGGCTGCATTTATTTGACCAAACTACAGTAAAAACAATAACATTGTGAAATATTTAAAATATTATTTATTCATGTGATGCAAAGCTGAATTTTCAGCAACCATTATTCCTCAGTCCTCAGTGTCACATTACATGATCCTTCAGAAATCTTTCTAATATGCTGATTTGGTGCTCAATTATTATAAATTATATATATTTTTTTATTATTAGTGTTGAAAACAGTTAAATTCTGCTTAATATTTTTGTAGAAACTTTTGTAAAAAAAATATATATATATTGTAACGATACATTTTTTTTTACTGTCACTATATTAATCAGTTGAATGCATAGCCTACTTGCTGAAATAAGTATTAGTTAAAAAAAACCTACTCCAAACTTTTAAACAGTAGTATAAATGTAACTTTACAATTGGACATAACCCAAAACAAAGACGAAAATGTGACCATTTAGACCAACCATTAATTGTAGTCTAATATTAATTTATTATTACTTATTAATTTATTAGACACAACAGAATATTTGTGCTTTTTTGTCACAGCGTAGGACCTCTCAAGATGAGCTAGGCCAAAATGTGTATAAAATTGGTGAAAACCTTATACAATTGTATTGGTTTTATAGTTTAATTGCGAAAGTAACATGAGTTGCGGAATGTTTATGTAAGATTTCTCTGTGTTTTACTCTATATTAATGTATTTTTCAATCCTCTCTGTTTTGTAGGTATGGCAGTTGTGGGCCTTATGTGATCAGCTATGTGTAAGTGTTCACAATCATCTCCCTCATCCCAAGAACATCACGTGTAATCCCCCTCCAAATCATTAAGGGGGATCTTTCAGAATGAAGAAGATCAGTCTGAAAACAATAAGAAAGTCATTGAACATTAAAGGCAAAGAAGAGAATGAATATGCCGTATCGCAGCCGGACCTGGCAGCCAGTTTCTCTGCTGAAGACTCTCTGTTTGGAGGATGCTACAGCAAAGATTTCGCCAGCAGCGACCTGGATAACGAGGATGAAAAAAGATCCAAAGTCCGATCTAAGAGCGAGGGTCTCATGGGCACCTTGAAACGAAGGCTATCGGCGAAACAGAAACCAAAGGTCAAGAGTGGTTCTCCATCTGTATGCTCTATAGATGACGATACCTTCTCCTCCTCTTCGGCACCCATTACTCTAAGTGACATAAAATCCCAGCGTTCCTCCCGCTCCACATCCGTCCATAGTCATCATTACAGTCCCACCCCGTGGCCTCTCAGACCAGTGAACTCAGAGGAGATGTGTGTCAAAATGGACGTTAAGGCATTAATGAACTCCTCAGATCCAAGTCCGGCTTTCAACGGTGTGCGGCAAGACATCCTAAACCTCCAGAGAGAGTTTGAAGAATCTGGCAATTCGTTGAAAATCACCAGACGTGTGCCAGACCACCATTCTGGTGCTCAGAATGCTGATTTGCACCTTGAAATAGATGAACATGTGCCTGTAGTCATTGGTATTGCAGCTCAGGATTATATTCAGTACACAATGCCTTTAGATGATGTACTCTATCCTGACGACGAAGGTTCGCACTCTTTTTGCTTAGATGGTCCCACACCCATGGACGTTGTTCCGCAGTCAGAAGGATCTCTGCATGTAGATGAGGAGCCTATTGTCCAGGACCTCCTGTCACCAGACATCTTCATGGAGTCGTCATCTGTGAACCAGCTCTTTTTAAACACTGCAAATATCTTACTGCAGGGCTCCAGACTCGAAGCTCCTCTTTCCCCCATGCTACCTCCATTGCCCGATAGTTATCTCCAGAGAAGCTTCTCTCGGTTTGGTGGTACTCACGCTCAGGTTGCAGAGAGAGTCATGCAACATCTCAACTTTGACCCCAACTCGGCTCCAGGGGTGCAGCGGGTCTATGATGCTGTGCAGAACAGCGGACCCATGGTGGTTACTAGTCTCACAGCTGAACTGAAGAAGCTAGCCAAGCAGGGTTGGTATTGGGGTCCCATCACCAGATGGGAGGCAGAAGAAAAGCTGACAAATCTTCCAGACGGTTCTTTTTTAGTCCGCGACAGCTCCGACGATCGATATCTCCTAAGCTTGAGCTTTCGCTCACAGGGTAAGACGCTCCACACGCGGATTGAGCACTCGAACGGCAGTTTCAGCTTCTATGAGCAGCCTGACATTGAAGGCCACGTATCAATTGTGGATCTCATTGATAATTCGGTCAAGGATTCGGAGAACGGAGCGTTCTGCTACTCCAGATCCCGCTTACCGGGTTCCGCCACCTACCCTGTTAGACTGACCAATCCCGTTTCAAGGTTTATGCAAGTGCGTTCAATGCAGTACTTGTGCCGTTTTGTTATTCGCCAGTACACGCGGATAGATCTGATCCAGAAATTGCCTTTACCGAACAAAATGAAAGATTACCTGCAGGAAAAGCACTACTGAATGCAGTAAATCCTGACTTGGTTGCTACTTGCACTTTTTGGATAACACACACCGAAGCAGGTTTCGCAAACATTTCAAGAGTTTTGTTACCATTCAATTACACTTTTTGTTGAAAGAAAAGATGTTTGTCGGTCTGGTAGAGTAGATAATTCAGTGGTTTGTGAAGAAACGCAGTGCCAGAATGTTGTTAGAGTGTTTGGATCTCAATGTCGGAGCATTTTTCGCATGTTCTCTTAGTACTGTAGCATGTGATTTTGTTACAGTCAAAGACAGTCCAGTATTTTTCTGCATATCCCACATTATGAAATATCAGCACACAACTACAAGCTCCAGCTTATTGTAGGGCATTTAGAGATTCTTGGCAGCAATGCACAGAGGTATAGATGCCTTAATAATGGCCGCATGTTTGTGAATGCATAGACTACATTCCTCCTCGCCCCTTTTTTGAACACATAACTTTTGTTTTACTAGCCATTGTTGTGTCATGACCTTCTTCAAAGGGAAAATGTACTATACAATATGCCAAATGATGTCCTCTCACCCTACATATGATCTTACCCTTCTGTGGAGTTACTCTAATAAGCTATATTAGCTGCTCATATTTGTTAGATCATATTGTCACACCTCTTTTTTTTGTTGCATTTTTTAGCACATGTGAAGCCAAGGTTGGGTGCCTCGCTGAAATTCGTCTTTGCTGTAGCTAATTGATTTTGGACTGTATGATTTGTTCTTTATAACAGTCATCTTTTAACAGGCATGCAGTTATGTTATAAACGCATCTGGTCCATTGTTTAAGTGTTCATTAGAATAACTTATCATTGTTTGAAAACAGAAGGGTTTCCTGTGATGGACTATGTCAATGGTACAGTTTAAAATCATCTCTTTTTGGGAACATAATTTGCTTACTGATATGTTGTAACTTGAACTTGTTCTCCAGTTCAAAATAAAAGTTTTATATGGTTAATCTCTGTCAATTCCTTCTAATGTAAAATTGCTTGATCTGTTATTTAAATGTAGTAAAATCATTCTAACAGAAGCAGAGAGCAGTGCTGTGTGTGTATATATATGTATATATATATATATATATATATATATATATGTATATATATATATATGTATATATGTGTGTGTGTGTGTGTGAGTGTGTTTATGACAGGTTTTGCATTTATTAACATAGATTTTCTTGGTTCCCACCACTTATTCCCACTGTAATTTTCGCTTTCACCTCTTTTCGTTAATGAATTGCACAAATAGTGTCGAATTTTTGTGCCATTGTTGATGAGTTTCTTGACTTGCATATAATTCCTTGTTTTAATAGGCGCTAAATACATTACATTTTTATAATATCTTTTATACTAAAGTTATTTACTAGGAACAAGTCTTTCTTTCTGATTTTCATAAAACATGATGTCTTTGATTCATAGATTTTTATTGTTTAATTGATCATTATCCTTAAAGTTTGTGTGACATGCCATTTGGCTTATTTGGTCCACTAGAACAGAATTAAATGTGTGTGGGTTCAGATTGATGCTCAGTTGTGCTCCTTTGAGATGCTGCAGTGCTGTTATTTTACTGTTTTTGTGTGTGAATTAATGGTCTTTTGTAAAAGTGGGCAGCGTGTGGGCTTTAATATTGGTTGCCAAATAGGCTTTGCAATGTTTTCTCCATCCAGCACATTTAAAGAATTTCTTACCCTTTTCTTTCTTCATTTATATTATTACCAAGCAATTTGAGCCAGGATAATTCAACTTTATATGTGTTTGTTTGTAACTGCTGAGTAAGTGAAAGACCTCACAGGGCCAACAACTCCCTTTTGGCTGAATCAAAACTTGCTTTTCGCAAAAATATATGTTGAACGCAGAGAAGCAGTTCTCTTCAGACTCCAGAGACAATTTTTTAAGTAAAATGATTTTCATTTTTTTTTTACCTGCTCAGAGTAATGAAAAAGTTTAATTTGATGCCGCCATAGTATACTCACAGTGTCTGTCCGTCACCATATGGTGTAATGTAGAAGAGCAAAGCAATGTTTTGCTAATGCCAGCTTTTCTTGTAAACCGTAAGACAGCTGTTAACTTTAAGTTTTGATAGTACATTTCACTGCCTTTAAAAGACCTGTGGTGGACGAAGAAAATCTTACTCCTGAAAAAGTATTTAGTACTTCTATTTAACTTTACTTGAGTAACAGTACAAAAGTACTTCGTTTTTAGTGTACTTTAGTGTTAAAAGTAAAAAGTACTGATTGATGAATGTTTACTTATTGCGATTTTATAAACTCCATCCTACTACTCAGATTATGTGGGGTGGGGTAGGGGCTGTTCTGGCTTATTTGGTTGCCCTATATAGGCGAAATCAGCCATCACCCCAAACTCTCCACCCAAAAAGATGCAATAACATTGCATTGACATGCTTTTATTGTAGAACTACATACAACAACAACAAAAAACGCACCAAATAGAATAATTTAGTAAATATCTATTTACAACTCAACTCTAATAACTATTAAATAATAAAAGATAGAGAATTGACTAAAATCAGCTTGCTTCCATTTAGTGGGATTACACTTCACCTGAATTTAAAATGTAGCACTTCTGGTCTTCATTGATGCAAAGTCTGTATGAGACTAGAAGGGAGGTGTTGCACAAGGAACTGTATTGAAAATGTATTTTAATGAGTGGGGCAGTAATGACAAATGTCGAGAGCACATCACAGGTGGATTTCCTCATCTCGCACAAAACTGGACACTCTGCTCTCAAATATTAGACTAATCAGATACAAATATGCAGAATACTTCCACGATTGTCCATTGAAATAGTGTACCTTTAAATCGTAAAAAAAAAAAAAAATTGTAGGATCCATCTTTGTAAGTCGTGACCTAATTAATTTATAATTAATTTATTAAATTATAATTTTTATTTAGGCCTACAATAATAAATCCCAAAATTCTGCATTAGTAACTTACTTTTTGCGCCATCAGTTGGGAATGCACTCAAGCTCTGAGGATCTCCCCTTGGCTCATGTTCAGACAGACTTGTGAATTGTGAACTGGTGACTCGCTCTGACCAGATCACTGTATTTGAATCAAAGTTAGGTGTGTTTGACTGAAAGCGGTGATGCGCAGACCGATCGGTGTATGACATCAAAGTACGTGAGCGATTCCAAAGCATATGGAGCTTCTGCTCTCTAATCGCTCTTGCGGTACTTTGATGTCGAGAACGAATGCAAATGGCAAGCAAGTTGACACGTTTTTTATAAAATGTAGTGGAGTAAATGTACGGTATTATGCTTTGGGATGTAGTGCAGTTAAAGCAAAAGTGCAGATAGGCCTACTTGAAAAAAATGACTTAAGTAGGCCTTCGGTAACAAAGTAAAATATGTCCACTATTCATTTAATGAAGGCCAACATCTGCCCTGGTGGATTGGTGCTCAGGCGGTGTGATATTTACATGCCCTGGACTTCAGAAAGCATAAGACCCTTAGTTAGTTTCCCTGTAAGATCTTCTAAACAAGAAAGACATGAATCATTCAATACTATCTTAACCAGCATCCTTGCATATTGCTTCAACCCAACCAACTGTCATCCATTGTCAGTAAGGATTCACTTAGAAAGCTGCAGAAGTATTTTTATCTCATTTTATCATGTTGGCTATTATGTTGTCAATGCATGATTTGTCAATCCCCTACATCACTGTGACCCTATAGTAATCCATTCTGTTAAGGCTCTGGAGGACGCTTTATTACAGGTGGTGAAGGATTTCTGGCTCTGTTTATTACTCCCTCCCTTCTGTTTTAATTGGTTTCTTTGGAATTTCACATCAGACTCCTCTGAGAGCTTTCTTCACTCCACTTACCGGTGCAAATACCTTCTATGTTTTAATCAAAATTACCACTTTGGATATGTTTGTCTATTGAGTCTGAGGTAACTCGGGGGGTTTTGACAGAAGATACACTGCATACACTTGTCATTCACATAATGCATCAAACCACTATATTTAAAAGTACAAATATATAAAATAATTAATTGAGAGACAACACAAAATTCTCATATTTAATCATTTAGTCAAATTGGGTTAGCTATATACTCGAAATAGATGCATTTAATGCATTGCCACTATTTCATTGTTCCTGTACTCTTATTAATAACTTCAGTTTGACAATGAGTACAGCTTCTGGATGTTTTTGTAGTACTCCACCACTCGCATTTCAACCTTTGACTGTTGTGCATGAAAAGCCCTGCTGACATGCATCCACCATCATTCTTCTTTCAAAGTCACAATTCTTGCGCATTCATCCTTGAATTTCAAATATAATTATCAGTTTTCTCTCTACCTGCTGTAAATAATGTGGTCGGGTACACGTATCCCGTTATTGACAATATCATCTGTTCCACAGTCTGTTTTGTTTGTTTCATTTAATGGCAATGGCACATGATAAGACTGAATGCTTCTTCGGTTCACTGCTGATTTGCTCAATATAGGGTATATTTGTTAACTTCAAATGTTACATTAGAGATTAAACACTAAATTAGGTTTTATTCTGTCTTCACTGGAAAACTCGTGTGAGTTTGACTGGCAAGGCCAAGTGCCTTTTGAAATATATTTGAATATTTCACAGAGGAGCAAAATGTCACAGATGAAACAATCCAATCACATTTCCATAGCCCGTTTCTCTCCTGGCTTGATGATGAGGAAACGTTATCTGAGTTGGACCGACACCTACGAATGTTGTTTCAGAATAAATATTGTAGACCACCTGTTATGTATTCATTTGAACCAATGCGGTACCTTCAGCCTCAGCCTCGGTTGAAAAACAACTATAGTCCATTCATGATTTTGTATTTCCTTTAAATAAAGTTTTTTAGATCAGTAACAGAAGAACTGCTCTTTAACATTTGCTTCTTGAATTATTTTTATTTATCAGATATATGTACATCATATCTGCATTATTGTAATGCTCAACATCTCAGATTCAGTCTCTTTAAGTGCATAAAGAGCAGCAAAAATTGAGCCTGTAGAAAATCACAAAGGCATACGCAGCCTTACAGTGGATCTACTAGAGACCTGCAAAGTTGAGCTTTTTGTCACATTGACGCTGTCTTTATCTGTGAGCCATGCCATCTGTCAGAAACCCCAGAAGACCTCTTTCTGAGCACACCATGTGTCTCCACATAAAAGGGTGGCTTAAACAAACAGTACTGC